CTGGAACCATTTCTTAATTTTTTTTAATGTTTATTTGCTTTTGAGGGAGAGACAGAGCGCGATCAGGAGAGGGGCAGAGAGAGAGGGAGACACAGAATCTGAAGCAGGCTCCAGGCTCTGAGCTGTCAGTGCAGAGCCCGACGTGGAGCTCAAACCCGCAAACTGTGAGATATGACCTGAGCCAAAGTCAGATGCTCAAACCGACTGAGTCACCCAGGCAGCCCTGGAACCATTTCCTTTTTAAGGCTAGTTATAAATTTGAGACACCAGAAGAACCCTTTTATCTCCTGGCCATGGAGGCTGTCCTTGTCAAATGACGTTTATATCACAGGATTGAATGCTTTGTTATTTCTAATCAGAAGATGGCATCCAGAGAGCAGCTAGTATATTAGCTAATGATCCACTTGTCTGATACCTAGTCATATCCAATGCCTTCCTATACATTACTGCTTATTTAGAAAATCTTTAATAATTTCTTATGGCTTCCCTTTAATAGTTAACAGGCTTCATACTTACCAGCACTTCACCACATCCAAATAGGTTAAGCATTCAAAAGATTCACTGATTCTTACAATGTACTAGCAATTCGTGTATCACAAGTATATACCAACACTTAAAGTAAATACATATCTAAAAATCAGAATTTATAAAAAACATACAAGATGTTTACTGCTTTGTTAATATACTGTTCAAATTGAACACCAAGCCCCCTTGGTGCACCCTGGTACACTGCAATTTACAAAACCTTAATTCAATACAAGCTAGCAATAGGAAACATAAGGATATCTGGAACATCAGACTCTAAGCTTAATTTTTCCACTACTGTTCTAAGTAAATTAGCAGATCTGAAAATGTGTAGACCTTTCCAAGCATTTTCTAACTTAATACAAAGAACTGAATAAATGCATATTTTAATCTTGTCACCTATTACTAAACTTGAATAACACCCATCAGTCCACCCATCAACAAAATATTGTTGACACTTCACTGATAAGTGAAATAGTGAGATACAAATATGTTAGGGGCAGTCTTTAGGCTCAGAGAAGTATTTATTTTGTACTACTGACATGTTCTTCATAAATGCAATTAGCTTCAATTTAATACTTTGATGTTATTTCATCCTAATTTTATTACTTAATAAGCTTTATTTCTCCTGTATCAAGGAATATGATTGCCTACATTCATAAACCTCAGAGACTACCAGTACAATGAGGTGATGGCATAACCACACAGACGGGGATTTCAGCATGGTACTTTGTGCATCTCTAGTGGGATAGACCCAAAGGACAAAAAGAACTCCAAACAACATCTTAAGCTACTGTTATATTTTATTAGTATTGTTATTTGGAGACTGTGTGTATTGTTGGATGATGCGATTTTGCAGTAATATTGGTGACATTGGAATCTGGGATTTTTGACACAAGATAAAAGGGAAATAGATGTAAAAAAGGGAGGGCCGTTAAGTAAAAATCCTATGAACTGGAATTTGAATTGGTCGTATCAGTAAGAAATTATGCCGTATTTCATCTAAAAAATGTATTCACTGAGAAGGCCTTTAAACAATGACCATGCCAGTATCAATGGGAACTCTTGTACCCGGGCTATGGTCTCTAATATCACTTCTCATGAGAATGATCCAGGATTCCCGCAAGAAGTAATTCTAGGTCATCAGCAGGACATGAGTCTGGAACATCTGGTAAAATCAGAAAGCAAAGAAGCCATCAAATTCCACAAGAGTAGGGTCAAAAGGACTTAGGAGCCAATATAAAGATGGGACCCCTGACTAAAAGGAGACAATAAACTGAAACATCTCAAAATGTTTAAATTTATGAATTCATAATGATACTTACAAAAGAAAACTTGGGGCACCTGGGTGGCTCAGCTGGTTAAGCGTCCGACTCTTTGATTTTGGCTCAGGTCATGATCTCTGAGTTCGTGGAATCGAGCCCTGCGTTGGGCTCTGTGCTGACTGAATCCCTGCTTGGGATTTTCTCTCTCCCTTTCTCTCTGCCTCTCCCCTGCTCAGCTCACTCTCGCTCTCTCAAAATAAGTAAAAAAACATTCAAAAAAATCTTTGGGAAAAACCTCATTGGCTGTCTTCGAGGATGCTCAGAGGGAGTAAATGTTGGCTCAAAAACTGGTATTGAAGAGAAGGAACCTGGCATCCTTTTTGTTTTGTTTTGTTTTCCTCATATCAACTGTACTTAGAATAACCAAATATTTTATGAGTAGAAGTTTCTCATAATCCAGATTATAAAGAAGGAATGGAAGAACTGGAATACTGCATGGGGCGCCTGGGTGGCTCAGTCAGTTGAGCGTCCGACTTCATTCAGCTCAGGTCACGATCTCACGGTCTGTAAGTTCGGGCCCTGCATCGGGCTCTGTGCTGACAGTTCGGAGGCTGGAACCTGCTGCGGATTCTGTGTCTCCCTCTCACTCTACTCCCACCCCCCAACTTGTGCTCTGTCTCTCTCTCCTTCAAAAATAAATAAACATTAAAAAAATGTTTTTAAGGAAATAAATGTTTAAAAAAAAGTATTTTTAAAAAATCAGAGCTAAAGGAAGCCAGGCAGTCAACGCTGAAGGGGCAAAGATCTCATAGGCAGGAGAAACACAAACAGATGAGCTCAACAGGGACTTCTGAATAATTTTTTCCTCAAGGTATAGTGAAGTTTCAAAAGTTTCCCCAAGCCTCGATAAGGAAAAACATGACAGAAACTGAAGACCAAGAATTTAAGAACTACTTTTCTCAGTGCTAGTGAAAAACTAATTGAAGTTCAGGAGCTGGCAAGGTGGGAGAGATGTTTCAGAATAACGCAAGGAGCAATCCACTGAGAATGTATGGCAATTTAAATACCTATGCACTTAAAAACGCAGCCTCAAAATATGTGCGGCAAAATTGGACATAACTAAAAGGAGAAACGTAAAAATCCACATAGTGCAAGATTTTAATACAGCTTTTCTCAGTAAATGATGATAAAAAGCAGTCAAGAAAGAAGCAAAGACACTCAAACACAGACATCACAAATAAGTCAGCCTAACTGATAAAATTAAAAAATCTCACCCAGTAACTAAAGAATACACATTATTTTTAAGTGCACATGAAAATTTTACCAAAATTAAAACATATGTTTTACCTCAAAAGTCTCAATAAATTGCAAACAATTGAATTATTATGTTCTCTGATTACAACAGAACTGAGCTAAAAATCAGTAACTAAAAAACAACCAGAAAATTTCCACTTTTAAATAACCCCTGAGTCAGAGAAGAAATCTCAATGAAAATTAGAAAATATTTTGAGGCCCCTGGGTGGCTCAGTTGATTGAGCATCCAACTTTGGCTCAGGTCATGAGTTTGAGTCCCACATCAGTCTCTCTGCCTCCAGTGTGGACGGATTCCACTTCAAACCCGCTATCCCCCT